AGTGAGAGGCCCGCGTACCGCAAAAAAAAAAAAAAAAAAATGTTGTCGAAGGGCAGTAAGACAAAGCTAACGTGGAATCCTGATGGCTAGGTAAGGGAGTATTCATGTTGGGTTTTGTTTTTTTAATTTGTCGGGTGTCAATTATCCATCTCTCAGTTGTCTCACTATTGAGACTCGGCTTTATACCACACCCCCAGTTTCCAGGTGGAGCCTTCAGCGCCTAGTTCAGGGGGAGGACCGAAGGGTGAGGTCCATTCCGGCTAGTATCCGTGGCAACCATTCACTAAAACTGCGCTTGTTTAATGCTTAAGTAAAATAGTACTTGTTTAGCATAACAACCATGTTGTCAGTGTCAGAAATGCTTTACAGAAGGCTGAGGCGAGGCCAGTCAGTACCGAGCATCTTTTGAGTGCTGGGGCCGGACAAAAAAATCCTGCCCACAGAGGATTTGCATTTTACTTGAATTTAGGTATCAAGCAAAATTTCTCAAACCAGACCTCTCATGGTCCTTTTGCTAAACCAGTTTCCTCTTTCCCTACTTCCGTTCCAAGACCTTACTGCCCTGCGTCACCCACCTACGCCAGTCCAGTTGCTAAGGGGATCAAACACGTAATTCCCCATGTTTCCTCTCTGTGGAGCAACTGCTAACACAGCGTTTTGTAAAACTGTATAGAGTCAGTATTTTAAAATGTGCCCAACGCCGTGGTTGAGAATCCGCCTGTCAACTCAGGGGACAGGGGTTCCGTCCCTGGTCCCGGGAAGATCCCACACGCTGCGGAGCAACCAAGCCCGCGAGCCACAACTACTGAAGCCCGCGTGCCTAGAGCCCGTGTTCCGTAACAAGAGAAGCCACCGCGGTGAGAAGCCTGCGTACCGCAACTAGAGAAAGCCCGCGCGCAGCAACGAAGACCCAACGCAGCCAAAAATAAATAAAAATTTTTTAAAATGTGCCCAATAAGTCTAGACTTCAAAAATGGGATAAACCAATAATAAACTTTTATGAGAAGCGTAGTCTACTTTGGTTGTGTGGTTATGCCATATGTTCTAGAACCGTGTTGTTAAATAACCCAGTAGAGGCCTGTTTCATCAGTCTTCCAAACTGGTTCTATGACTTTCTAGAAAAACCTACAGTGGTTTACTTGATGTTAGTTACAACTGTAATTCTTCATTACTTTCTTATTTTTAGGAAGGCTATAGAGATGGAATAGAAGCTGGCAAAGCAGTTACTCTTCAACAAGGTTTCAATCAAGGTTATAAGGAAGGTGCAGAAGTCATTATGAACTATGGACAACTCAGAGGAACATTGAGGTAATTTTTAAAACTTAAATGCTGAATTATTTTAACCTCAGTACTACTGGAGGATTTTTATTAAAGTAGTATGTAAAAATAAAGCGTTTAAAGTGAAGTGCTTTTCCTATTGTTAAATCCACAAGAGTGCTTCAGAGCATAGAATAAAATCGCCTTCAAAAAGTCGAAAGTTCATCCACTTTAATATGTGAGCCAGGTGTTGTCTTTTACTGCAAAGAAATGATAGGAAGTGTCTATTTTTTGCTACCTGAACTACCACCAATCTGTATCTCAAAGTAATTAAAAAGAACTTCAGGTTTTGAATAAAGCTTTTAGTCTTCCACATGTAGCAGAACACAATAAAACAGACGTCTAGACTAGAAGTACATGATGAAAATTATAGCTGGTAACAGAAAAATGATTCCATTTACTTTAGTCCTAAATTTTGAATACCTGTCAAGATTCCATAGCAGTAATGGCATGTATCAGAACCAAGTGATCAAATGGCACATGGAGCTAGGAGCATGGCAGGCTTGTCCTCTTTGATGCTTTATACCTTTTCAACTGCCCTCTATAGAGAAAAACAAAATGCTTCAAGGAATCATTGATTTTTAAAAGGTATAAAACAAAAGTTGTCAAAACAAAGGAAAAATTCATTACATTGAGGTTTTCTAAAATTCAGCTGTTGGGAATCAGCATTTATACTATACTAAAGTAGGAAAATGATCACATGTTTATTGTCACATCAAGTTAATCTTTTATAAGCTTAGAAAGCTTACTGCTAAATCTTACACATTTTTTAAAACACTAATTTTCATAACAACCATTATTTCATGACGTGAATGATCTGAAATGTCAAAAAATACAGTTGTCTATACTAAAAAATTAAAGAAAAATAATTATTAGGACTAAAAGAAATCTAACCTTCTTCAATAAAATTGTTAGTCAGCTCAGCAAAGTGTCTGCTCTGTAACAAAATTGGAAAGGTGAAGTTGTCTCAAAACTTTTTTTTCCCCCCTAACCTTCGGTTTTGATGGCAAGTAGCTATATGGTTAGAACAGTGGTTTTCAACCTTGGTAGCAGCTTGTTACAGCTGGGAAGCTTTAAAAAAATAATACCCCCAGAGATTCTGATTTAATTGGTCTCAGGTGTGACCTGAGTCTTGATAAGTTTAAAAGTTTCCCAGGTGATTCTGACGTGCATCCAAGATTGAGAGTCCCTAGTTTAAAAGGTGGTTGATGTCCTTAAAGGAGAAACTAATTTTTCAGATCTTTCTGTTAGTTGTATCCTTCTTCAACAGAAGCTACACAGTCATAAGGGGAAAAATCTAAAATCAGGAAGAGTGGATGTAGAGCTGTGAAGGAGGGGTTATGAATTATAAACAGTTTATATGATTAAGTCCAGTTGTTTAATTCCTATTGAAAGATACTGTCCTTATATTTTTAATCCTGTTTTACCATCATTACTTTCCTGATTTTGACTTGCATTACTGTTATTAATAATTTTTGCATGGTGTTATCTGGAAAAGAAACATGTAAGCCTTAGCATCAAAAATTCTAAAAGCCTGTGTTTAATTTTTTTTCTATTTAACTCTTGCTTATATTTTTGTTCAGTGCTTTGCTCTCCTGGTGTCACCTTCATGATAGTAGTTCGGCTTTGATCAGTAAAATAAATAATCTTCTGGATGCAGTTGGCCAGTGTGAAGAGTATGTGCTCAGACATCTGAAATCAATCACTCCACAGCCCCATGTTGTAGATTTATTGGACTCCATTCAGGATATGGACCTTTGTCATATAGCTCCAGCTGAGGAAAAGATTGATGAAGCTAAAGATGAAAGATTCTATGAAAATAATGCTGAGTTTAACAAAAACTGTAGCAAGAATCTTAGTGGGGTAGATTGTTCATCTTTAAAATATTGTAGAACACAGGAGCGTGCACATTCCGAAAACCCAAGCCTCACTTGGATTTTAGAACAGACAGCCAGTTTGGTAAAACAGCTGGGAGTATCAGTAGACATATTACAGCACCTCAAACAACTATAAAAATTATCTTCACTTTAATATTGAAAATAATATTCAGAACATTCTTAGAATATTTTGTTTCTGAACAAGCTAACCAAAATTTGTACTGGTTTCTACACTGAACACTTCACTTGTAAGGTTATCCTTCATGGAAGTTTGAACTGTCTTCAAAATTAACACTATTTAATATAAGCCTACTTTCTTTGTCACTGGTAATTTTTATGTGGTTTAAGATATGCTCGGAAATTCTAGTTGTCATCATTTTCAAATTTCTGATCAAAATCAAGCATTTTTGAACTCATTATTAGCAGAAATGAACAAGAATCAGACTACAGTTAACCCTTGAACAACACAGGTGTTAGGGGTACCCACCCACCATGCAGTTAAAAATCCGCATATTACTTATAGCTGGCCCTCCATACCTGCAGTTGCGAGTCTCAGATTCAACCAATCTCAGGTAGTACGGTACTGTAGTATTTACTACTGAAAAAATATCCAAGTATAAGTGGACCCTAAGAGTTCAAACTCCTGCGGTTCAAGCATCAAATGTTATTTTGTAAGGTCTTAGCCCTACCTTCTGCTCTTATCACATTGTCTCGTGATTAGGACCTCACCTTGTAATCAGACCAAAGTTACAAAAAATTACCTAATGACTAAAGTTGTAAATAGACACACATAGATATATATAGATATGTAGACATATATATATTGAAATTAAGAGGCTAATAAGTGTAAAGCTGAAAAAAATGTTTATACTGATATTTAAAACAAAATACTAAAGTTTGTTTTAGTTTTTTTATTGAGGCATAATTGATTTATAATGTTTCAGGTATACAGCAAAGTGATTCAGTTATACATTTTTTTTCAGATTTTTTTCCATTATAGGTTATTACAAAATATAGAATATAGTTCCCTGTGCTATATAGTAGGTCCTTTTTGTTTATTTTATATATAGTAATGTGTATATGTTAATCCTAAACTTCTAATTTATCCCCACCTCCTTTCCCTTTTGGTAACTGTAAGTTTGTTTTCTATGTCTGTGAGTCTATTTCTGTTCTGTAAATAAGTTCATTTGTATCATTTTTTAGATTCCACATATAAGTGATATCATACCATATTTGTTAAAGTTTGTTTCAGTTTTGTGTTTATTAAAAGTAAGGACACAGTTCCATGAAAAATACAGAAAATACATTTCATGCTAAAGTACTTACTTAGCTTATCCAAGTTTTGAGTTAGTAGTGTTACCTAACAGTGTGCCGGATTATTCCTAAACTGCAGTTTTGCTTCATATTTATTTAGGAATAAAACATTGAAGCCACTGACTTCTGTATTATCTTGTAGCAATATTCTTAGTCTAGCATAGACAAAGTGAGATTCAAACTTATGCTCCAGGACCTAAACATATAAAATCAGGAAAGGATTTTTCATCACTTTTTTGCCTGAAACACAAATTTATGTAACATGCCTGACTTCAGAGGCACCCAAATAATTGCCTCTCATTGATAGCCATAATTTATATCTACCATCTACTGTAAAAGACTGATACCCTGAGAAAATCTTATCTGATAAAAGAGGTGTTTCAAGAGATTAAGAAAATGTACTGCTGTGATCTTACAACCTCCACAGGGTTCACAGGACATTATGAAATTGAAGCAACAAATTTGAAATTAGAAGACCATAAAGTATGTCAGGATTTACTAAAACATGCTGAAGATATCAAGTGACATTTGACAGATGGTTTTTTAAAAAAGTGATTGGGGCTTCCCTGGTGGTGCAGTGGTTGAGAGTCCACCTGCCGATGCAGGGGACACGGGTTCGTGCCCCGGTCCGGGAGGATCCCACATGCCGCGGAGCGGCTGGGCCCGTGAACCATGGCTGCTGAGCCTGCGCGTCCGGAGCCTGTGCTCCGCAACAGGAGAGGCCACAGTGGTGAGAGGCCCGCGTACTGCAAAAACAAAAACAAACAAAAAAAAAGTGATTGTATCTCTCTAGATGTAAACACTATTTCAGAGATTTACTGATTTGTCTTGTTACGTAGATACTTTTTTCCATATTTATGAATGCAGCAAAAATCTCAAATCCACATGGAATATTATAAGCAGTCTCTGAAGTCTTCATGTTGCTCTACCCTGCATATCAGATATGAAATATACACATCTTTAATAATACATCTCAAGGAAGTCACCCTGAGTAAAAATTTCATGAGTGCAGCAAATCTGGAGATTTTATCTGGGCTCACCCTGACAGAATTTCCTGAAGATAACACCCTTTGCCACCATTGAAAATAGGTTGTTTTTGTGTAGATGTTCGTAGAAAAGGAACTCAAGAGAATTAGCTGAGTTGAATGAAGCTGTTGGGTTGAAAACATCTCTCAAGCTTACATTGCCTTTTAAAAAAACACAGAAGTTCCTGGACTGCAGAGGAAAATTAATGGAATGCTCATTATACCTGTGTTTCATGAACCTCTGTATTAGAACCACAAGAGTGAAGGAAAGAAACCTTGCCTTTTGTCTTTTACCTTGCCTCGTGTGTTCTAGGCCTGCCAAGTGTTGCCATGAAAAGACCCTAGATGAAGATAAATGTAAAGCAAGACTGCCCCGGAGCAGACACAGCAGAGTTTCAAGACCCAGGACCTAGACATTAGGCTTAGATGATGTGGCTTCCTTAAAAACAGAATTTTCACCTTGAGTAAGTTACTTCTAGATACTGACATATGTGGGGTTTTTTTATTGTCTTTTTTAAGCCCACAATACTATGCTTTTCTGGCATTTCAGTTGCTAGAGGTATTGAGGCCACCAAAATTTTTGTGATACACAAACAAGCAGAAGTGGGCAGCTGAATTCACCTGCCTGCATCCTTACCTCATTTATATCCTTAGCACTGCTTATTAACTGCTTTTGTGGTACACCAAAATAAAAGCCTTGAACCAAGTCCAAGATGTGCTTTTCATCTATCTTCAGACTAAAGTTTTGTGTTCCAGTCTAAGACATAGACAAATAAATATAGAAAGACATTCTTTTTTTAAATTTTTTAATATTCTTTTCCTTTACAGTTTATCACAGGATATTGAATAGAGTTCCCTGGGCTATACGGTAGGGCCTTGTTGTTTATCCATTCTACATATAATAGTTTGCATGTGCTAATCCCAAACTCCCAATCCCTCCCCCTTGGCAACCACAAGTCTGTTCTCTTATGTCTTTGAGACTGTTTCTGTTTCATAGATAAGTTCATTTGTATCATCATATTTTAGATTCCACATGTAAGTGATATCAGATGGTGTTCGTCTTTCTCTTTCTGACTTAGTACGCTAATCTCTAGGTCCATCCATGTTGCTGCAAATGGCATTATTTCATTCTTTTTTATTATGGCTGAGTAGTATTCCATTATATATATATATATATATATATATATATACCACATCTTCTTTATCCATTCATCTGTCAATGGACATTTAGGTTGTTTCCATGTCTTGGATATTGTAAATAGTGCTGCTGTGAACATAGGGGTGCATGTATCTTTTTGAATTATAGTTTTGTCCAGATACATGCCCAGGAGTGGGATTGTTGGATCATATGGCAACTCTATTTTTAGTTTTTTGAGGAACCTTCATCTGTTTTCCATAGTGGCTGCACTAACTTACATTCCCCCTGTAGGCGGGTTCCCTTTTCTCCACACCCTGTCCAGCATTTGTTATTTGTAGACATTTTAATGATGGCCATTCTGACCAGTGTGAGTTTTGATTTGTATTTTAGAGATTCTTAATTTCAGACCAGTAGGTGAAGTAACCATCATATGCCATCTTAAACTACCGATCAGACTTCTTGCTCTACAGAAATTCTCCAGTCTCCCATCATGAAGATACTTCACGCCCCATAGTTGCTTTTCTTGCTTTTGCTCTCATTTACTGCCTTTTCCCAACAAACCTACTGGAAGAAGAGTCCGCAGTCACTGTCTCAAATAGCTTTCTCCCCATTCACTCCTGAACATCAAACTGCTTTTCGCTAAGGTCACTGGTGGCCGCTAAATCACACGACTGCCCTGGTTGTATGATTTTCAGTCATACACTTGTCCTCTCACTTGTCTGGTTTTCAGTCCTCTCACCTGTCCTCCATCACTGGACACGAGGAACCATCTACTTTTACAATCCATCTGCCTGCCTTCTGCAGCAGCACTTTTTCTTGTTCTACTCATTACTACTTACTTCTACTGGATAAATGATAAACTTGAGTTTCATTTCCAGGCCCGAGCAGCACTGTCAGTATGATTTCCCATCCTGCCTCCACCACACACACACACACACACACACCACTTCTTTATGGACACTACTACTCCAATGCTTTGTGGACAGTCCACAACTCCTAAAGTTGTTCACTCTGACTCTTCTGTCTCGAATACTTTTATTCCATATCCTTCCTTCCCAGCAAATTCCTATTTATCTGTCAACACGAGCTCAAATTTCAACTTTCTCAGGCAGAGGTAGTTGCCCTTCCCACTGTTCCCTCTTCATCACTTTGAGTACCTCAAACTTCAAATTTATTCAGGAAAGTACCTTATTCATCATTATATCCCCAGCACTTACCACACCCTGTATATAGATGCATATGTGGTGTTCGATGAGGGAAAAAATAACTGTATTTACTAGCCAAAATGAAAATGAAATCAGAAATTTAGGATTCCAAAATACATCATGTTAGGAGCTTCCCTGGTGGCGCAGTGGTTAAGAATCCGCCTGCCAGTGCAGGGGACATGGGTTCGAGCCCTGGTCCGGGAAGATCCCACGTGCCGCGGAGCAGCTAAGCCCATGTGACACAACTACTGAGCCTGTGCTCTTGAGCCCACGTGCTGCAACTACTGAAGCCCAGGCACCTAGAGCACGTGCTCTGCAACAAGAGAAGCCACCACAATGAGAAGCCCATGCACTGCAACGAAGAGTGGCCCCCGCTCACTGCAACTAGAGAAAGCCCACGCGCAGCAATGAAGACCCAACACAGCCAAAAATAAATAAATTTAAAAAAATACATCATGTTATATACTTTTATTTTTAGAAGAGAAAACAAACCTTTATGTTTGCCTTTTAAATTTTTTTCCTTTTAATTTTGCATGTTAATAAAAATCCACATATACATATTCTGTCTTCATTGTACTAGGCTAAATAGTAACACTAAGACAATAGTATTTCCCAGTCATTAAAAATCAC